GATTGGGGGTCAAGTGTCTGTCTCTGCCTGTCTTGCTGCTGTCCTGTGATTGAATAGGTTGCAGCTGCTGATGAAACAGGCCCAAAGAAGGTTTGTGTGTATCGGGCAGATCCACCTGCTGCCCGGAGCTCACTTGGCAGTCTTGGTGCAGCCTCGCTGAGGTGGACCTGGCTTGTGTTCGCTGTTGGTTCTCCTGCTGGCTCTCTGTTTCTCTCTTTGTCTCTCTTTCTCTCGAGCCTTCTTTTATGCCATCCCTCTTATGGGGGCTCTTCAAGCAGAGAGCTGAGAAGCGATGGGGCTGATTGGGGAGAAGTCTGTTTCTGCCAGTGAGAGCGGAGTCCAAGAGATGGGTGACTTCACGGCGTCTGCAGGGACAAGAGGCATCTGGCCGGGAGATGGCTCAGACATCCCCAGCTGGCTAGTCACACACTGTGAAAAGGATAACATTTGCCTTGGAGACTGGACCTACCGGGACTGGGCTGATTCACTTGTGGTTGGAGCTGAGCGTCTAGGGCTGGAAGGAAATTGACACCCCTGGTCTCTGCTGCTGATGGAGGGAGCCGGCTGCCGTGGACTTGGGTGTGTCTTGAGGGAACCTGAGCGATCAGAGGCCTCCCGGTGACCTGGATGTGGCGTCCCCCTAAATGGCCCCTTTGTCACTCTGGCTTGCCAAGCCGCCTGGATGCTGAGAATGGAGAAATAGAGCAAGAGAAAGCCCAGCCGTTACCCCCCCCCTTCCCTCTGCTCCTCCTGCCCCCTCCCTGTGCTCTGGGGCGCGCCGTGGGGGAGATGGGCCACAGCCTCGGAGGCGCGAGGCGGCTCTTCCCCGCGCTCACCCCCGGCTCTGGCAAAGGGGCCTGTGCTGCTCCTCCTGTGTCCTCAGTGTGGCGTGGAGCGTGACACGGCGCTCCAGCAGGGTGACTCTGGAGCCTGGCGGAGAAAGAGGAGAGCCATGTCCCCGCCTTGGCAGGGTCAACAGGTCTTCTCCATCAGGCACAGGAAAAAGCCATTCCCTGTTTGCACCTGCCAGTGGCAGGCACAATGCTGGGGACAGGACATCTGGTGGAGAAGAAAGATAAGGGCAGTGCCCCCCCACCATGTACCCCAGCTCCCCCATGTACCTCCTGGAGAGGGAGATAGGCAGGCACGGCCCACCCTGGGGATGCTGAGCACAGAGACACAACTGGCCTGCCCAAGGTCACACAGCAGGCAAGTGGCAGGCAGAGCGTGGCCATGTGACAGCTGCTCCCTCCTCTGCCAGCAGCTGGACCTGCCCCTCCCCTCCTCCCTGAGGGGTCCCACTGGCCCGCGGCACCTGGTGTTGGAGCTCTTTTACCTTCTGTTTCCTGGCTTGCTTCCTGTACCAGCCCCCTCTCTCCGGATGACCTTGTCTCTCTGCATGGGCTTCATTTTCTCCTCACTTTCACACTTTCACTCGCCTCCAGCCTGGGGTCCAGTGACATTTTGAGAGGCCTCGTGGATGGTGAGGCTGGCAAGGTCCTCAAGGTTCCTGCTGTCAGTGACTGGAGAGCCAGCCTCGCAGAAGGGAGGCGAGGCTCTGTGTGCAGGTGGGGAGTGGAGCTGTTGGGCGGATGGAGCCGGGCTCTCAGGTCTGGACCAGCGGGCAGCTTGCTCCCTCGGGACGGTGAGCCGACACTGACCTCTTACGCAGCCCTGGACCTGGGCCAGCTGGGATTTCTTCTCTGACATCACATCGACATGTGTGCCATTCCCATCCTTAGTCTGTCAGTCGCGTGGCAGGGGCTCAATACACAGTTGGAGACAGGACGAGTGGATGTCTACCACTTCCTCCCCGCCCAGAGGAGTTTGGAGGAGATGGATGAAGAAATCAGTGGCGTCTCAGTCTCGGAATGTCTGTTCCAGTTGGAGAGACCAAACAGGGCGATATCAGGAAGCCTCTATGCGGTTAGGTGTGGAATTGCCTGGTCCAGACTGTAGGTGTAGTTGGAACACAGCAGTGGGAGACGTCCGCATGGCTGGTGGGGCAGGAAGGGCTTCGCGGGAGGGACTGCCATGAGCACTGGCGAGGTGGTAGGAGGGGTCAAACCCTAAGTGTGATCAAATGGTGTTGGAATGGACTTCTGTTTCGGCTCAGAGATGCTGTTTGAACTTCTCTTTGGTGGGGAGGAGAGGGTGACTAGCATCTCTCCTGGTAATCTCGCAGCCCCTGCCCCCCGAGGTGCTGGGGCTCAGTTCCGGCTTCACGCTGCCCACCTACAGCCCTCCTCCCTGCTGGGGCCTGACCGGTTCCCCTTGGCTCCTTCTGCAGGGAGACATTTGGCCACAGCGAGCGACAAAGTCGCTGACGGTGCTGAGTTTCCTGTGGCTGCCGGAACAAAGGGCCACGAACTGGGTGCCTTAAAACAGAAATTGATCTTTTCACAGTTCTGGAGGCCGGAAGTCCAGAGTCGGGGTGTCGGCAGAAGGGAGCACTGTCCCCTGCCTTTCTCCTAGCTTCTGGAGTCGCTGGCGGTCCTTGCTGGTCTGGGCTTGTAGGGACGTCCCTCCAGTTGCTGCCTTGGCCCTCACGTGTGTTCTCACTGTGCGTCTGTGTCTCTTCTATAAGGACACCAGACGCTGGATGTTGGGCCCACCCCAGCCCACTGCTCATCTTGGCTACATCTGCAAAGAGTTTATTTCTGAGTAAAGTCATGTTCATAGGTACCAGGGTTGAAGACTGCAACATAGCTCTTGGGGTGACACAGCTCAGCCCACGCTAGCTGCTTCGAGATTTTGATTTGTTCGCCTCCAGATCCCCTTTGCTATGAAAGTCTGTGTCCCCTGCTGGCCCCCCGACAGGCGTCTGGAGGTCTGGGCCGTGGGCAGCGACCACCCCCTGCCCCACATCACCCCATTCTTCGATCTTCTCTCGAACTTGCTGGTTCACGGAGCGGGGTGGGTGCGGGTCTTGCTGTTTAAGACCAAGTCTTACTCTGTAGGGTTTGGTGGCTTGGTTGGAGATGCTGCTTTTCCCTGTTTGGGGGACTGTTTGAGGAGACAGAGGGTGTATTTATGGGCAGGACGGAGGGCCGAGACGCTGCAGATTGACAAGGTACCTCTACAGAGGAGCAGGATGTGGGCGGCGGGACCGGCCGGAAGGGGCAGCCCCGGTTGTCGTCGTTCTGGGCCGGAGTCCCGGCTCCATGGCTCACTAGTCCTGGGGTCTCGGGCCAATCTGTCAGCTTCCTCCTCTGTGAAGTGGGATCATGGTGACGGCCGCTTGACAGATCTCACGGAGTTTCTGTGAAGATTACATGATAACAGGTAGACATGGAAGGACCCCTTCTTAGGCCACGTTTTTACGGTCGTCAGTGATGCGTGACGTAAAACTGACCCTTTTCTCCACATTTAAGTGTCCAGCTCAGTGCGTTAAGAGCACTCACGTTGCTATGCAATCATCACCACCATCCATCTCCAGAACTTCTTCATCTCCCCAAACCGTGAAAATGCCTTTTCAACCCTAAACTGAGAGCACTTTTTATTCTTTTGATAAATAAGGAAAATGAGTCCTCAAGAAGCAAGGGCCCCTCTGAGGGCTCCCAGCGCGTTCGGGGCGGGGCTGAGGTGAGGCCCCGCCCCCGGCTCGCAGCTGGGAGCTCATCTTCCATCTCCCGCACCTGCTGCCCCTGCAGGTTGCGGGGGTCTGGGGCGCGTGAGGCCTCACTGGGGTCACGTCCCTGTGGAGAGCTTCTCCTTCTCCCAAACCCCATCCCCCCAGGACCGCGGGCCCTGCAGGCGAACCAGGATTTGTCCCCTAGTGGGACCCACACATCCGTCTGTGTGGAGGGTTTCTTCTTTGATGGTCCTGGTTCTTGTCAGCCTCTTGTCTGTCTGTCTCTACCTGCTCCTTCGTCATATGGACGCAGTTCCAGTGGAGAAGCAGGGGAGCTGGACTCAGGGTGATCTCTGGGATGGCTTTGTGGGCTACCTCGTGGTGCAGACAGAGCACAGGCAGGGAGGCAGATGGCCTGGGCTCTGGTCCTTCCTGTGGCTACCACGGTGTTCTCACCGAGCCCGTGTTGTCGAGTTCCTGCAGTGTGCCCATCATGGGGAAGCATCTGTGAACAAGGCCTTAGTGCTCGCTGCCTGCAGCTGCTGTGAGACATACGTGATGTGGCCAAGGGCACCCGCCTGTAGGAAGCCATGGCAGGTGGGGAGGCAGGCGATGCCCCCGGCCAGGCTGATGGTAGAACCCTGGGGCCAGGGCGCTAGGGCAGGGGGAAGAAGGAAGGAGAATGGCCATGCAGGTTAGGCTTGCTTGCCCGGGGCCCCTCATGCCCCTCGACGTCCGGGTGCTGGGGGCTGGGGACAGGCCCGGGTCAGACAGTGGCTGCCTTCAGGCGGCTCATGGTCGAGTGGGGAGCACAGAGCTGCGTGCAGGTGATTCTGAAGGCACTTCATCCATGCCGACAGAGGAGTGGGTGATGACAGGTTACATCACCAGGGGAAGGAAAGGCTGATTCTGCCTCGCGGGATGGGGATGCTGGTGGAGGGACGGCAGGGGAGGCTTTGCTCTGATTTAATGCAGAGGAGACAGGTCAGGAATACCCGTGAGGTGTCTCAGCCCATGGGGCGGGGTGGGGGGGCACTGCTGTTTTAACCTCCCTAGAGGCTGGCCCCTTTGCCCACCAGACAGATCCTGTGAGGTGGCTGGACAGGGAGTTTTGTATCCATTCTGTGGGTGGGAGTAGTGATGTGCTGAAAGACGTGGGAGCAGAACCCTGGGTCCTGCCTGGGTCCCAGGTGATCTCAGCAAACCCACCCCAGGTACCCTCTGTGTTTCCCTGCCTGAGACCCACGCAGAGCGGGCCTGGCCTCAGCTGGGGTGCCTGGCTCTCCAGGAAGTCCGGTCCTCAAAGGCCTTCTAGCCTAAAGTCCCCCAGAGCCCCGCGGTCTCCCTGGCTTCCTGCCGCCCTGGGAGGCTCCTGGAGGGCAGCCCACTAACCTGCTCTCTCCAACGGGTCTTCTCCTGACACCAGGTCCCGGCTGGCCGACTTCCACGCCAATTGTCGGGCCTCCTACCAGACGCTCACCAGCTGCCCGACCGATAATTACCAGGCGTGCCTGGGCTCCTATGCCGGCATGATTGGTAAGCCGCCCCGCCTGGGCTCTCCGTGGCTCCCGGCTGCTCCAGGTTCAGATAGGGGCTGAGGCCCACTTGGGGCCAGCACGTGGACAGCCTGCCCTTCTCTGCACGGTTTCAGAGAGCTGTGATGGAGGCCGGAGCAGAAGCCAGCTCTTTATCACGGGGGAGGAGGCTTCTGAAATTAGAAGAAAGGGTAGCATTCCTTCCCCGACATAAGCAGTTTCCGTGAACCATCTTATTTAATTCTCACAGCAGGGGTTGCTGTCTCCACTTTACAGGTGGGGAAACTGAGGCTTAGGGAAGCTGAGTAACTTGTGAAGCCTCACCCCACTATTGCATGTCGGTCCTGGGGTCCAAGCCCAGGAATGAGCCACGGTCTTCCTGACTCAAGGACACACCCTCTGCTTGTTCGCACAGGAGAAGGCGAGGGCCTGTGCTCTGGGAGGGGGCTCCCAGAGGGTGTCCCCTCTGCTGTCCTGGTCTGTCCTCTATGCCATGCCCCACCCCGCCCCCTGCCGACCCCTTGATTTGGATCGTGAGCTGGCCTGTGTGTTTAGGGGACAGGTGGGAGGGAGGGAGGGGTCCCAAGCCTCTTTTCTGTTGTGTCTGGGGTCTGGGGGCCCGAAGGGAAGTCTTACTGCTCCTTGCGCCTCTCTCCCTGCCCAGGGTTCGATATTACACCCAACTACGTGGACTCCAACCCCACTGGCATCGTGGTGTCGCCCTGGTGCAGCTGTCGTGGGAGCGGAAACATGGAGGAGGAGTGTGAGAAGTTCCTCAGGGACTTCACCGAGAACCCGTGCCTCCGTGAGTCCTGCGGCGTCCCCCGCACCCCGGGAGCCCTCCCGCCCTTCACATCCCAGGGGACCCTGGAGCTCTGCCCCCACCTTTCCCTCCTTCCCCCTGGGTGACCGGTGACGTCTGTGGGGCTTCCGCTGCATGGCGGTTGCTGACGTGGGCTTTGTGCCCTTGGAGAGTCCTGGCAGAGCTGTCAGGAGGCCAGCCTGCGTTCCCCTGGAGGCCTCAGCCTCTGTTAAGTCAAGGCCAAAGGTTTCTGGTCTGTTACCCTGATAGTTTCAGCCAGGTTCCTTCGGGGACAGCCCCGTGGTGGGGGTCTCAGTACCTGCCGCTGCTGCTTTTAAGGACTGATTTCCCCTTGGAACTGGACCTTGAAATCCTCAAACTCAGTCCCGAGGCTGGCGAGTGAGAGGCCAGCCGCAGGCTCCGCCTGCCTGGTCCTTCTGGTCTGACGCCCCTGCTGCCCACACCCGTCGGAAGACCTCCTCCCCTCTGCCTTCCCTCCTTTCTTTCTTCCGTCCATCTGTCCATCCACCCTTTCTGCCGGGGGCTTGGGGATGGAAGTCACGGTGCCTGTCATCGGGCAGCTTGCCATCCGGAGGAGATGTCGTCAGGGGGTCAAGATGATCACAGCGCTAGGGGAACAGTGCAGGGGTGGAGGTCTACACGGGGCTCTTCAGGAGCTGAGGGTGGGGATACCCGGTCAGCCTGGAGGAGGGGGCCCCTGAAGGTATGCCAGAGGCTGACCCCCTGGGGGATCGCTGGGCACCCATCAGCTGAAGAGGCAGGGAGGGCCTGCCAGTCCGCCCTGGGCAGAGGTGGGCTGTGGAACTGCAGACCACTTAGCCTTGCACAGAGCACAGGCATGCCCAGGGCCATCTGCACAGGTGGCGAGAGCCCTCCTCACGCGGGGCCTTGCAGACCTGAAGGCGTTTGGATCTTAGGGTCCTGCAGGTGGCGGGGCTGGTGTGCGGGTCACTGAAGGAGTGTCACAGGTGGTCATATCCGGTGTTGGAAGGCTCACTCTTGGGCTCTAGTGTGGAGGGGGTGGGGGTAGGGGTGTGGTCCTCACAGGTGACAACACCGAGTCTGCTGAAGGATGCAGTAGGTGCTCACAGGAGAAGACAGTGCCCGCTGCTTCAGAGCAGAGGAGGCAGGGTGGAGCGGAGGGGCCGAGAGACCTCTCTCTAGGCGGTGGGTTCGGGAAGTGTCCTGGGCGACTCAGGTTTCAGACATGGGAGACCTGGGTGGAGACAGATGGCACCTTCAGTGCTGGAAACACAGGGGGCCAGTGTTGGGATGGGAGGGCGTGGTGCCTCGTTCAGGTGGTGATGGGATGAACTCGAGGTGCATCTATAGGATGGACCCTTGGGGACACAGTTTTGTCCAAGATGCCCCATTAGTTGGTCCTGAGTGAATTCTTGTAACTGATCGTGTGGGGGTGGGTGAGGCCACCTGGGGAAGGGGGCCATCAGAATGCCAGCAGCAGCAGCGAGGGAGGCCCGGAAGCATCTGAGCTGGTGGGGGAGCCGGGAGAACCTGTGCCTAGAGGGCTGGGGGTGGGGAGGCTCCTGAAGGGGGCGTGGTCTGCAGCGCTGAATGCAGCCCGCCGCCGAGAAGAGGGGGCTCGGGCTCAGCGCTCTGGGCGCTGTCCGCTCCTCCCCTCCCAGCTCCCCAGGGTCCCGCTGCTCCTCCTCCTCTATTTTTCTTCTTCCCTCCTCATCCAGTGCGTTTCCTTCTATTCCAGTTTCTCTTTTCCACCTTCCCTTGTGCTATTTTCCTCTCTAGATGTGAGACTTTGGTCAGTATCTGAAAGGGAGCTTCGGCAAAGTTAGCTTGGGCGAGTTCCAACCTGCCCCCAGCCCTGGGTTGTTACGGGGAGGGTCACAGTTGGGATGGCGAGGGGCAGAGTGATGGAGGTGGCCCCTGATTTCTCTGTGTCTGCCTGCTCTCTCCCCCCACAGGGAACGCCATCCAGGCCTTTGGCAATGGCACAGATGTGAACCTGTCCCCTAAAAACCCCTCATTCCAGGCCACACAGGCCCCTCGGGTAGAGAAAACGCCTTCTTTGCCAGATGACCTCAGTGATAGCACCAGCCTGGGGACCAGCATCATCACCACCTGCACCTCTGTTCAGGTGAGGGACCACGCTGCTGGGGAAATGGAGCCGGGGCAGGCCGAGGGCTTAGAGAAGCACCAGGTACCAGAGACAGGGTGGGAAATTAGACTGGGAAATGGGGACAGGGCACACAAGTTTCTCTGTTTGGATCAGGGCCTGAGAGGCAGAAAGAGCTGGCGGGGGCTAGTTTTCCATGCATTCGTTCACTTTGCATCACCTTGCAAGTATCAGACACCTGTTCTGTCACAGGGCTGTGCTAGACACCACGGGGGTGCCGGAGGAAGGTCACGGTTACCATTTAGTAACCATCTGCTAATTACCAGGTACTGTGCTAGTAGACTCTGCCTATTGTATGGAATTCTCACACAATGAGCTGCTGGGATTCTAGTTTTACACACAGGAAACTAACCCCGGGATGTTAGGCGGCACACCCAAGGTCACACAGCTGGCTGGTGGTGGAATAAGATTTCAAACCTGCATCTGACTCCCAAACCTGTGATGATCATTTGTTTGTCTGCCATCCATCCCTCCCTCCACCCACCCAGCCAGCCAGCCATCCATGCATCCATCCACCCACCCATCCAACGTGTGTTAGGTACTCACTGTGTGCAAACTCTTATGTGAGATGCTGGGGAGACATCGGGGAATGAGGCTGACATGGTCCTGTCCTGTTTTGTGGTCCTTACAGTCTTGTTGAGGGTCAAACAGTTCAACGAGTACTAGACTTGGGCTCCAATCAGTATAGGGGACGGCATGGGTGGTGCAGTGGAGACACATCCGGGGCTCCCCACTCAGCTTTCTCTCTGCTGAGCTGCGCTCTTGCCGTCACGCCATTTGCTACAGTAGATTCGTTGCTTAGGAGGTTGGTTCTAGTCAGACCCTCCAACCTGCCACACACACACACACAAACATCTAGAACAAAATGTTTAAAAGAGAACCTAGTGCAGAATATTAGGGAGAACAGAAGAGGGTGGGTGGTGGGTAGGGGATGTTTTGGCAGGAGTTGGGGCTGGAGTTGCTAGCGAGGTTGCTGGGGTCTGGAGCCCAGCCCGTGGGGGGGGGCGCAGGGTAGGCAGCTGTGGGGGTGGGGAACACAGGCCTGGCCCTGTGCAGCCCTGTGACATCAGTCTGAATGAGCTGGGCTCGTGGGGTCACCAGTGGGCACGCACTACAAATGTAGTTTCAGTCTTGCAGGATGAGTAAGTCCCAGAGAGCTGGTCACAGCCTTGTGACTGTCGTTGACAACATTGTGCTGTGTGCTTGAAGTTTGCTGACCTTAGATGCTCTCACCACAAAAAAGAAAAAAAAAAGGAAAATGGCAGAGGTGCGAAGTGATGGATGTGGTGATTGGCTCGTGACGAATGTTTCACAATGTATGTGTATATCAGGTCATCAGGCTGTGCCCCTGAAATGGATACAATTCTCAGTGGTCATTCGTAACGTCCACAAAGCCAGAAATAAAAGGCAGAAGGCCTTCGGAGCGCCCGGATGAGACCTGAGCAGGGGTGAGGCCTGGTGGAACCCGGTGCCGGTGCCCGCCCTGCTTGGGAAGCCGCCCCCTCCCTCCCCAGCGGGCACCCTGTGCTGCTAACAGCTGACCTCCACGTGCCCTCCGGTCAGTCCCAGCGTGGGCCCCTCCACGCCCCGCTGCCCTCCATTAGGCTGCCCCTCCTGACTTGGGCTGAGGGGCTGTGTCACCCTTGGGCGGCCCCTAATTACACTGGGCACGCTTGAGCGGCTGCCGGCAGGGCTGAGGGTGGCTCCGCAGACGGTACCAGCTCAATTTCATGCAAGAGTGGCGGGCAGCTCGGCCGGCCGGGGCTGGGCCACCTGTCAGGAGACCGGGCTCCGGCTTGGTCCACATGTCCCTCCGGGGACTGCCAGCTCCCCTCCCCAGCCCCTCGGGGCTGGCTCACCTGGGGAGATGCCCACCCAGCAGGGGGCTGGGGACCTTTCCTGAGACTGGCACTGAGTCACAGTGGGCGTGGAAAAGTTCAAAGCGGTGGCCTCATGCCCACTGCAGCCCCCTCGGTGCCTGATGACTCTGATTCCTTATTTTTCCCCCTGTTTCCCTCTAGCAGTTTGCTAAACTGTTGCCTGGTTTCTTTCGGCCCCAGCCTGGTTTTCTGCAGACTCACCACCGTCTGGGCGCTTGTCTTCCACTTGGCTTGATTGCAGTGGAGTTCACGCATGACCTGTGTGTGAGATGAGTGTGTGTGGGTCCCTGCATACGTGTTAGGTGTTTTGAATCCCGGGGGGGCTGCCTGGCAGGGGTATCGCCTAGGCCTGGCCCCAGTGACGGTCCACTCGGGTCTACGGACTGAGTCACTGTAGGCAGGACAGCCAGGACGGCCTTCGCAGGAGGAAAGGAAGGGAAGGAGCCCTCAGAGGGGCCCACCCACCACCAGCCCTTGCCCTGGCTCCTCTCACAGGCACTGGCAGGAAAGGGCCTCTGATTCTGTTTTAATTACAGTCTTTTTAATGAGCACCTACTACTCCTTGCCAGGTGCTGGGAGTGCAGAGGGAATTAGCCCGGGTGCCCACCCCCAGCTCGGCTGGAGACTGGCCTGGGGGGTGGGTCTGTCTTCCCCGCCACACTGCCGGACCCCCTTCCCAGCTCTGCTAGCTTGGAAGGGCTCTGTGGTGGCCGCTGTGGGGCCCTTGGGAGTGACAGCCACCCATGGCTACAGAAGGGAGTCCCTGAGTGAGGGCAGAGACTGGAAGCTGAGCTGGGTGGGAGGGAGGGTGGGGGAGGCTGTGCACCCCAGACAGCCCTGGAGAGAGAGGCAAGGCCACTTACCTCTGTCCCGATCCACAGGCGGGCTCTTGGGAAGCCTCAGGGACCCTATTCACTGCCCCAGAGATGGCAGCCAGCTGGGGACCCCGATATTATGATGCATGGGTCCTGTGAGATCTCCTCCCCGAACCCCAGAGGGTGCAAGTCCCATGAGGACAGTGACTTGTCCACAGCCCCCGCCCCCGGCTCCTGGACAGTCTTCTGGCTTCACTGAGCTGCCTCCTCCTCCACATCTGCTCCCCAAAGGACGTTCCCACAGTGGGGTGGGGGCTGGTCTGGGGGGAACTCTCTCCCATCGAGGGGCTGCTGGGCAGGAATGGGAGTGTCTTAGACACCAGAGAGGAGCCAGGAGCTGGGGGGCCCCCAGCTGGCCCACAGGCTTCCCCTCCTGCCCGTGGTCCCCTCTCCAGTTGGCTCTCTGGGACTTGGAGAAGGTGTGGCAGGACCTGCAGGACGGTCTCTCCCTCTGTTCCTGCTATACACGGGTGCACGTGCGCGTGCACACACACAACCCCCTGTGTGAATTCCCTCCCCCCTTCCCGCTGGTCCCCAGAGCAGGAAATCTGTAGGAGGTGGTCCATCCTGTACCCTCGGCCACGGCCCTTTGTTCTGAAGCCCAGCGGGGCACCCCCGGGGGAGTCCTGAGGGCCAGGCTGAGCACGGTGCCGCCCTTGCACTTGTTGGTCCCTCTGGGCGAAGGGCCGCTCCCAGCCCTCCCTTCCCGCTTCTGCTCTTGAGTCCTACGCAGTGTTATGTCCTGGGTGGCCTCCCTGACTCTGCTCAAGGAGGACTTGCTTAGGGCTCCCTGTTGCCTCGCTCCGGCCCCCATCATGATGTGTTCTGCCCTCACCACCAGGAGAGCATCCCTGGGAGGGGGGGCGCATCTCACCCCCTTGGGAGCCCTTATGACTGAGTGCACAGTGCCCAGCGTGGGGTAGGTGCTCCACACAGGTTGAGAGAAAGAGCCCAGAGTCCCTGATTCATTGTATTTTTTGGAACTTCCTGCTCTCTGTTCTAGAAAATAGTCTGTTTTGTTGCCCACAGGCAACTCTTTTCAGCCTTCCTCCCTCTCATAGACACCTTCTGTGTGCCGAGAGGGTAGGATGGGAGCGGGCTTTCTGTCGAGGATGCGGGAAGACTGGGTAGGTGACTCTTGCCACCTGGTGGGCCCTGGGCCGGGGCGGGGCAGATGGGCAGTGGGTTTGCGCTTTCCCTGGCCCTTTTGTTTCCAGCGTCCTTGGCGCTCCCTGCAGGCTGCTCTGCGCCGGTTCGCAGGGCCCGGTCAGATCACCTGGAGGCTCAGCTCTCCTTGTCTGCACCAGCCAGCTTCTGCTCTCACCCTGGGTACCGCCATCCCATCTAGGGGATTAGAATGGGTTTACAGGGGTTGCCATGAGCCGCCCCCACCACCCGCCTGCAGCAGACTGAGCAGCCGACAGCCACCTCCGTCTCCTCCTCCTCCCTGTTCCCCGATGGGTCTCTTACCCGACACCCGGGCCAGTGGCCATCACCGCATGGGACCCAGAGGGCCGTCAGTGTGCCTGTGCGCCTATGAGGCACCCATTTCTAATTTACAAATTTGGTTTGTTTCAAAGCTTTGAGAGGCTGGAGCACTCCTTCTTTTCTTCCCTCCCTCTGGTTCCCCTTTGTAGTCCTTCACTTACTCACCCATCATAAATTCTTACTGCACATCAGTCTGTGCCAGGCACCACGGCTGACGAGCGTCCTGGGCCAGTAGCTTGGACGGACAGGGTGCACACTCAGATAATTACGGGGCAGGAAGTGACAGGCACACCGGGAAGACTGATAAGGTGTTAGGGGATCCAGAGGAGGGAGGCTGCTTTGGGCTGGGAGTGGAAGCACAGGACTCATGGGCCAGGTGAACCCTGCTGCTTGGAGGAAGCGGGAGAATTGAACAGGTAAAGACACAGAGGTGCGGAATTGGGTGGAGCTGGCAAGGAGAACGCAGAGGCAGGGAGTCAGGGCAGTGCAGAGCCAGCTGAGGACGAATCTGGCCCGCTGCCTGTTTGGGGAAATTAAGTTTTGCTGGAACACAGCCACACCCTGTGTTGTCCGTGTGCTGCGGGCAGAGTGGCGTCAGGACAGATGCTACCGCTGGCAAAACCTAAAACAGTCATTCACTGGCTTTTTGTAGAAAATGTTTGCCTCCCTCTGACCTAGAGGACACAGGCCATGGGTTTGGGAGGACACAGAGTTCAGATATGGAAGGAGAGGGTGAGGAATGAAACCTGATTTGCAGGTTGAAGTGGGGAGTGTGGAGAGGCTGTTGAAGGCTTTTGAACAGGGAGTGTCTTGATGAGAACTGTGATTTGGGAAGATAATCTGACAGCAGGTGAGGACTGGTTGTCAAGGGAGAGAGGCTGGGGGACCTGTTAGGAGATCTTTGCGATAGTTGATAGTCATCAGAGGTAAGGAAGGCGGGTTTGTACCAGGTGGATGGCAAGGAGTGCAGGAGGATGAAGAGATGTGAGTTACTGGAGGTGGGTGTGTGCAGAAGGGAGGCGGCCAAGGGCTCTGAGTTTTGGAGATGGGGCCAGGAACAGAAGCAGGGGACACAGGAGAGGGTGGGCCAGCTCCCGCCAGAGGTTTTCCCTTTGAGAAAACACTGGACCTGGTCCCTGGCACCTGGACCAGACCGGCAAGACTCTGGGACTCCCAGACCCACGCAGCTTTGGGAATGAGAAGAGGTGGCGAGGCAGAGGAGGAAGACGATCATTTCCTTCCAACTTCCTGGGCGAAGGGCTCCTCTGGGAGGAACTTCTGAAAGGATGAAACTTGTCTTTGCTTCCATTCTCCCTCCCTGTGCCCCCCCCCCCAAGACAGTCAGGTGAGATGGACGCTGGGAGTGGCCTCAGGGGACAGCCTGCAGCCTGGGGGCTTGGGGGTGACGCAGCCTCTTTCCCGCCTCCCGCTTACTGAGCTGGTGGGAGGTGACCCCGGCTGTTTATGTATTTCTCTCATCAGGGTGTGAGCAGGGCTGTGACTGGCTCATCTTTGGAAGCCCTGCGGGGAGTGGTGGGGAGAGTTACTGTTGAGGGAGGCGGTGGGTGAGTTTGAGCCTAAAGCTTCGCCAGTCGGTAGTGGAACCTTTCTGTCTGCGTCTCCGGAACCCACCACTTTCAGAAGGGTCGGCTGATGGGCGAACACCAGCACTGTTCTGTGTGTCCAGGGTGGGTGAGGGGGCCTGGGGTTTGCCTCTGGGGAGGTTCTTGCAGTCTTTACTCCCTCACTGTTTGCTCTGCTTTCTGGACGTCAGGTGGAGGAGGGTCTACCGGGGCCGAGACTTCTCCCTGGCTTTGCTGCCGGGCCCCCAGGCCCCCAGGCCCCCAGCTGACCCGGATGGCCCCTTGCGGCCCCAGTCCTGGAAGTTTGGATGCAAACTCCGCTTGGCTCAGTATCAGGCTGTGGATTAAGGAGCATTTATACTTGTCCAGAGCTTTGCTGCGCCATAGGCACCATTCACATATGGTCACGGAGGGTCAGTGAGGTACACTTGACTATCACTATTTTATAGACAGGGAAACCTAGGTGCCAGTGATAAACAGACTGAACCAAGGGTCAGTGGCTGAACCAAGACCGGTGCCCCAGATTCTGGCCTCTTGGGCCCTTCCCTTGGATCAAGGGGCTGTTCCATGGGGAGGGTCACAGGATTAGGACCCTGCAGTCTGAAAAGGAAAGGCTGGGATGGGTCTACGAGGACACAGTCTTCAAGCTAGATGTTGAGCACTTGAAGGAGGTACTTGAGGGCAGCAAGGGGAAGCCTGGTGTGTCACCTGGCCATGCAGCGTGCGTCCTGGAGCCTGCCGCCGGGCTGAAATGCCATTGGTTCAGAAGGGCTTGGGCAAGCGCTGTGGATGATGGATCCAAGATGGGTCACTTACTGGGCACAGGAGGGGTCCTGTCCTGATTCTTATGGAGGTCAGTCCTAATCCCCAACCAAGTCCCTGCCACCCTGTCAGAAGCCACACACCGAGTCTCGGATTCCCTTAGGGTTGCCCCAGGGAGGTACCGTCTCTTTCTCATGGAAATTCGAGCTGCTAGGAAGAAGACAGGGATCCTGGAGGGGCGGGGACAGAGCTGCTTACCTGCAATGGTTAGAGCTGGAAAGGATACCAAGAGCAAGTGGTGCTGAGCTGCATGGCACAGACCTTGACAGGAATAAGATGCCACAGGTGGGGACCTGGCAGGAGCTGGGAGTTTGTCAGGGAGGTGATGGAGTGAGGATTAGGGGGCAGTCAGGTGGAAGGCAGTGGTGACAGCACAGCCTCGGTGATGGGGTGGGCAGGCTGCATCAGGCGGTGACCTCCCGCTGCCCTCTTTGGAGCTGCAGTTGACCCTGGGTGGTAGAATGCAGTCCTTGGGTCTGGAAGGGCCTTAGAGACACATCCTTCTTTAGGGACACAAGCTGGTTGGTGGCTTGGCCGGGCTGGATCTTGGTGCCTGGAATCACTGGTACTATGGTCTTAAGTAGGTTGCTCCTGGGTGGGGTCCCTGGTTCCATCTCAGCTGTGCTCATTGTCACGGTGGTCACGTCTCCAGCATCGGTAGTGACTCTGCTCTTGGCTGGGGCCTTTGTGTGACAGCTGGGGTCTTGTTTGCCTGACCAGATGCCCTGCGTGCAGATTGCCTATGATGTTGAAGGGGTTACTACCATTTCTGGCCAAGAGCAGGGATTTAGGCCTAATTTCTTGGGCTTCCCAGTTGCTTCTGTTGGCAGAGCCATTTGAGGCCAGGCTAGAAACAGCACATCCCTCAGCTGGTTCCCGTGAATCATGATGATGATGGTGACAACAAAGGACCGCTCTTCATGGTCCTGATCGAAGGGGTGATGCCAGGGGTAGAAAACCCTGGGGTCATCACCAAGCCAGCTTTCCTTTCTCACTCCTCACCTGGACCACAGAGCTCCCAGGTGCCACACATCTGTTCAGGCCGAAATGGCCAACACCTGGCACCATTGCCAGATGTCCGCCTGACGTGTGCCAGTGGCAGACATCATTAATCGATCGCAGCTCTCTTCCCCATGAACACAGTGAGGACTCATGGTCTTTCTATTACTCGGATGCCAGTTCTGATCTGTGGCATTCATTCATTCACTCACTCATTCATTCGTTCATGGACATGTTAATAAGTGTCAGTTAACAAACGTTAGCTGAGTGTAACATTTATTGAGCTGCAGTGATGCAGGGAGAGAAGACATGGTCCCTGCTTCACCAGGAGCAGCTCTGGGTATGGTGGACAGACACGGGAGCGGCTTGTTACTATATTATGCTGTAAATTGGAGAGCAGAGTTAGACCTCTCTTCTCCAAGAGCCCAGAGGAGACAGGACCTGATCACTGCAAGTATCAGGGAAGGGCAAGGGTCTCTGTGTTGCCAGCGCTCTTTGTGAGTACCCTGTGCTCAGTGATGCCCGTGGTGGATGGCCGGGCCGCAGGATGTTTGTTCTCATTTGAGTCGTGGGACAAAGCCCAGCCAGAGACCCAGCCCCGGTGACCCATCCTTACTAGTGCCTTCTCCCCACAGGAGCAGGGGCTGAAGGCCAATAACTCCAAAGAGTTAAGCATGTGCTTCACGGAGGTGAGTGAGGGGCAGAGCTGGGGTGGGTGCATGGGGCTGGGCCAGAGCGGGTTGTTTGCCAGGCGAGCCCCGGACTTAGGTACCCAGACTCCACTGCATGGGCTGGCCTTGCTGAGCTGGTGGTCCGCCTGGGCCTGGCGGGGGGCTCGCTCTGCTGGGTGGGGGGATGTGGGTGCCACGGCTGTGGCCAGGGCCGTTACTTGTCTCCTGGGGTGAGACGCAAGAGGCTGCTCTGAGCAGAGGCCCTTGCACAAGTCTTCCCGCCTCTTTAAGACAAGTGTGCCCAGCAGCCTGCCCTGTGCACAGGAGTGTGTCTGTGACCGTGTGGTATATGTATAACTCAGATGAGAAGAAAAGATAGTGTAAAAGGCTACAGAAGGGGAGAGAGCTCAGACAGGGATGTGCAGGGGAAGCTTCATGGAGGAGGGATTCAGACAAATTTAGGAATAAACAAATTTAGAGTTTCTCACGCCTCTCATCTCTGGAAGCAGGTCCCTGTGGGCCCTGGGGACTTCACCCCTCTCCTCGCTGGTCTGCACCTGCAGACCCTCTTCCTCACTTGGCAGCGTCAGCCGGGCAGGGAGAGCAGCCCGTTTCCCTGGGGTCTGCTGCCCTGCCTCCCGGAGCAGCCGAGCTGCAGCCCGGCTCCGCGGAAGCCCGGCGGTGGCTCCGAGCTAGCTCGGGGTGGGGGGGCCGGGGCCCGGGAGGGCAGGGGCCTGAGCGCGTCACTGCCAGGGTCCTCTCCTTTGCCTGATGCCGGCCCTGCTCTCTCTGCTTCTGTCCCCTCTCTGCCTGGCCGCAGCTCACGACCAATATCATCCCAGGGAGTAAGAAGAAGGTGATCAGACCTAACTCAGGCCCCCACAGAGCCAGACCGTCGGCTGCCTTGACTGCCGTCTCCTTCCTGATGCTGAAACTGGCCTTGTAGGCTCCGGGAGCCGCGTCGGGAGGTTTCTGAAAGCGGCTCAGACGAGAACGCCCGCCTGACAAAATGGAAACACACACAGACACACACAGACACACAGACACACGCGCGCACACACACCTTGCAAAAAACAAGTTTTTTCCCACCTTGTCTCTGAACTTGTCTCGTTCCAGGTTTCTTCTCTGGAAAAGTTTTTCTAAACCAAACAGGCAAGCAGGCGGGCAGCCTGAGAGCTGGCCCAGAGGCCCCTGGCAAGGGACACCCAGCACCGAGCAGGGCACAGGGTGTAGGAGTGCCCGTCACTGCTCCTGGTGTGTTTCTCTCTGGACCCAGGCAGGACAACAGCCCTGCTGCCCAGGGGACTTGGGGCTGTGCCTGACGCAGGCGGGGGTTGGGAGCAGGATGGCAGCCGCTGTTCTCAGTCTGCTGACTCTGGGGACCTGCTGGGGGCTGGCAGGGGGTGTCGGGTGGCAGAGCAATGAGGCCGGGTTCCTGAAGGTCCACCTGGGCCCCTCCAGCTCCTCCACCTGGAGCCAAGGATGGAGTTTATTTGGCCCCCTTCTCTGCGGGCTGGGCAGGTCTGCGTCTGACCTGTGCGGGGGTCGGGCTCTGAGCCCCTGGCCCCTAGTGTAGCATGAGGGACCGGGCAGCTCCAGGGGGCTTGGGAGCTCAGCCCACCTGGGAGACCCTGTTGCAGGTAGGGGGCAAAACTTGGGTACCAGCTCAGGCTGCTGCTGCCTCCTTGATGGCAGGAGTTTTGAAATCAAAGAGAAATGATTCTTTTTCCACTTTCTTGGTTTCTCATGGGTCCCGATGGTGGGTCTCCCTTCGAGGGGAGGGGCCGTCGCCGAGAGGGGCTGAAGAGACCACGGTGGGCCGTCTACCTGCCCCCCACCCCGGGCTCTGCACCCCGCTCCTCCCCCGCCTTCCCTGTCCTCATGTCCGAGACGTCCGCCAACTGTATGTACATAACACGCTCCTCTCTCAACATATATGTATATACACATCCGTATACATATATCGTGTGGTTCTCCCCCCTTTCCTTTTTTTAAGAAGCAAAACTATCGAAATAATACCCTAGCAGACGAGCGAAGATGTATTATTGTAAAGTTTATTTTTTTTAATGATGTTGTCTATAATGGGGAAGGAGGAGACTGGCTCCCTGTGTCCCTGCCGCAGTCGGGCTGACCAGGCTGCGGAAGGGGGCTCCTGATCCGTACCACGCTTAGCCGAGGCGCCAATAAACGTACTAGGACGCGGCCTGCCTTCTGCCTCACTCCCGGCGTGCCTTCTCCCCTGTTTTGTTCATGGCCCGGTGCCAACTTCTTGGCTGCTTCCCTGGGGCTCCTGGTGGGGCCTTGGGGAGAGAATGTGTGTCCGTGTGTGCGCTCGTGTGTCTGTCCAGCGTGTGTCCTCGGAACGGGTGATGGAGCCCTATTAGGAGATGGTTTTACGCGTGGTGGGTCTGAGGTCCAGGCTGTGCTGAGCCTGGGAGGCCGCTCACCTGTCATCTCCTGCCTCCCTTCCCAATCTGTGCCAATGCCTGCTGGCCCCCAACTGGAAGAGAATCAAGTAGCCGTGGGGCTGAAGGAGGGGACAACTTGATGTCACATCTTCAGTATGTTTTTGTTTCAAGGCTGCCTGGGCGGCCGTGTTGGGTGGCACTGTCAGTCTCATGTAGAGTGGGTGGTGTCTTCCCACTGCGACTCCTGGTGTTTTTTTAAGGTTCTTGGTTGTGAAGGCAGGAACCTGGCCTCTTGGGTCCCGGCGGAGAAGGAAGACAACTGTGGCCCATCCCTTCTCTTTTTCTCCATTTGCCACCCAGGCTCTACCCGGACACTGCGCCTGCCACATTCTCCTGGAGAGATCCTCCCCAGAGAAGACCAGGGGGATGCCTGCTGCCGTGTGTGTGTGTGTGTGTGTGTGTGCGCGCGCGTGCGTGCATGCTCATGGGTGTGGGCTCGCGGGTGTTCACGTGCACCTAAGAGTATGCACACAGCTGGGGGTGGGGGGAGATTGCCAGGAGGCGGTTGTTCCCACTGGCAGCATGACCTTCAGGGCTGCACGTGATCCCATCCTGTCACCACTGAGATGCTGCTTTCCAGTCTCCCAGTCCTGGGTCCCCTCAAGTGGCTCTTGTTTCTGGCTGCACATGTGCTGGGAACATCAATCCACGGTGGCGATTGGCGCGGTGTGCTAGGTTCCAGCCTCTGCGTGGTGGGACCGTAAGCCAGCCTGCGCTCTACCCCAGCCATCTGTGCGTAGAGGAAGACAGAACGGCGTGGAGTTCATTTGGGAATTCATGTTCTTTGCAAACAGCAAAGACTGGTTAACATAGAAGGCTTTGCGGGGAGATGGCTCAAAGAATCAGTAAGAGGTGGGAGGACCCAGGGAGTCTGGGGCAGGAACAAAAGGACGTTTGAAAGGACAGGAGGCAGAATCTCTAGGGTCAGGATGCTGCTGCCTCTCTGATGAACGACAACCAACCGTCATGCAACTGGCCGAACAGGGGTCCCGTGCCCACCTCCTGCCCTGCTCGGGTGGGAGAGGAGGCTACGTCGTGTCTGGCGTTGCTGATGGGATATAAGCCTTGGCTTGCATAATAGGGGAGAGAAAATTTCCCTGAAGGAAATGGGGGTGCCGTTCTGAAGAAGGAATAGAGCCCGGGCAGCTTTACTCTGCCTTAAAACATCTCCCCACATGGGTATCACATAGCTGCAATTTTACCATTAAATATTCATTCCTCTGGTTGAGACGATTCCTATTCTCTCTGATTTTCTCAAAATGTACAAATAAAACTGGGAAGAATAAAGTTTTCCTATCTTAATGCTAACTAGTTTAATGGTTTGAATGAATCTTAGTAACATTAAGACATTTGGGCCTAGACTTTGAGATTAGGCTTGGGGGACCGATAAGGGGAGAGAAAAAAGAAAGAAATCAGGAGTTTGGTAAGGGCCACCGGAGGTAGACCTGAAATTAATTCAGAGTTTTTGGGAAGAGTCATCCACACGAAGTATATGCACCTCTACCCCAGAGGCAGCAATGTCTAGAAAATGAGGGGTTTTTTTGCCACTAGCTTTGTAGGGATTTGTGATCTGGGGAATCACCTATCTGCAAAGCTGTCTTATCCCGTTTTCTAGGCTCTAGTACCTTGTCAAGACTGAAATCATGTAGGGGTGCTTCTCCCCTCCCTGGAGAAGCTTCTAGCCCGAGACAGTTTTGGTTCTGCCAAGAACCCAGGCTTCCTGCCTGGCGCTTGCCCCTGCTGCCCTCCTCTCAGTGCAGTTAGGACCCCTTGGACGGGGCCAAAGGCCCAGCAGAGACCTGCAGCAGCGGCAGGGGATGCCAGCTCAGGAGCTCAGAGGACTTGGCATCCAGCGAGCTGTGCCCTGGTCCAGGGCGGCCCCCGTGGTGTGGGCTACGTGTCTGGGTCCCTGCCTTGTTCTGAGATGAGACACACAGCTGTTATCTCGGTTCCCTGCCCCCCTGGCCCCGCCTCTATAACCTGCTTGGCAACACAGGTTTCCCAGGACTGCCCAGCCCTGCTCTTGCGGGTCATGCCAAGGACCTGATGCCAGGGTTAGAAAGAGGAGACATTCAGGGGTGAGGCAGACCTGCATTCGAGTTTCAAATCTGCTGCTCACCAACTGGGTGACCACATCCAATGGGAGCTTCAGTTTCTCACCTGTGAAATGGGGATGGTGGTCCCTGCCTCGCAGGAGGGGTGTGGGCATTAAAGGCCAGGCTCTCCTCAGCGCCGGGCATCAGCCACGCCCCTGTCTTCCCCAGTGGCCACGTCCCCGGGCCGCTGTGGCTTCTCGGCACGTGCTTGGTCAGCCCCGGCTCCTCCTTTGGCAGCTGGAGGAGCTGTGCTGGGGGTCCGTCCCAGAGTGCCTCCCTTCCTCCTCCTTTCTTCTGTGCCCTGAAATGCTTTCCTGGATTCCCTGTGGTGGACACAAGAGCACAACCACTCCCAGACCCTGGACTGGGCTCTTGGAAGCACTGTCAAATGGAGTTAAGAGGGTGGGGAGAGGAAAAAAGGAAACTTCCTCTTATTTGTAAAGCAGAGTTGATTTGGTCTGCGAGTCATCGGGGACAGCGGCTACAGAATGTCCACATGTCACGCCCCCCCAACACCACGCAAGAAGGCAGAAGACGGGCTGCTGCCGTCGGCGCACCAGCTCAAACCCGAGAACAGGAAGCACTGATGGGCAGGCTGGCGTGGGGTCCCTGGTGGGGCTCAAGGCGAGACCAGAACAGCTTAGCTCCCAGGGGTTCTTGGGAACTCCCTGCAGGGAGGGAGCCCCAGGCCTCCAAGCCCAGCTTTTGGGAACGGGTCTGGGGTCAGCAAGATGCTTTGTGAGCAGACTCATCTCTCCCCTGTAGAAAAAAGGGCTGGCAATTAGGTGAGGGCTTGATGGCCCATGTAAGTCCATATTCTGTCCTCCAGAAGTCTGGGGTGTACTGGAAAGGGTGTCTGGGTTCAAACTCTGGCTTTGCTGTCCACCAGCTAGTGACCCTAGCTAAGTCACTGAACTCCCTGAGCCTCAGTAAAGTTGCTCTAGATTGGGGATTGGCAAACGGTTTCTCCCAAGGGCCAGGCGGTAAATATGGTAGGCTTTTGGGCCATGCCACCTTGGTTGTCCTAAGTACCATGTTGGCCATTGCAGCTTGAAAGCAGTCAGAGACACTATGTAAGCGGTGGGGCCCTGGCTATTTTCCAGTAAAACGGGATTTGCAAAAGCAGGCCCGGGCTGGAGTTGACCCATGGGCTGCACGTTGCATCTCTTATTCTAAATGATCTCTGAGACCAAGCTCTCCATCCCAGGCTGTCTGACCACGGAGCTTCGGTGGCAGGGAGTGAGGATGGGTGACAGGGCTGAAATCGCCCACAGGTTGGAGGAAAAGAGAAAGCAGGTCGCCACTGTGAGGTGAACACGGAGTTTGAGGACTCGGAAGAAAGGCCCTACGTGGGCGCAAGGCGCGAGGGCAGAGACCAGCCTGCGGGCCGCACACGTGGTCTGGAGCATGGGAGCTGCGTGAACAATTATGAAGCTGTGCTCTGTACAGAGGGACAAATGGGCTTGAAATTCGGCTGCTCTCAATTCACCCATCTGTGCATCCACCTGGGCCTTAGCCCTGAGGAAGGGGGGTCATTCCCTGGTTTGCAGAAGGAGCTGTGTGAGCTGGAGGAGGACCTGTGGTCCAGAGCAAGGGAAGCTGTCACTCTGGGGTGGCAGAGGGGAGAAGGTCACGCGTGCACGCAGAGAAGGCGCGGCCTGGCAGTGGGGCCCCGAGAGCCCCTGTGTGGCTGCGGGCAAGTCACTTAACCCGGCTGGGCCCCACTTTTCTTGTCTACAAAGGGAAGGGTCAGAGGCGCTGCTCTCCATGGTCCCCGTCCACAATAGGATTCTCTGATTCTATGACTGTCAGCTATTTCTGAACTCACCAGCCCAGCGCAGAATAACTCAGAAGGAGACATCCCTCTTTCAAAAAGCACTGCCACCCAGCTCGGTTGCTTTAATTTTTCACCAAGCACCTTATGCAGAACCGTGGATTTCTCATTCTGCACGAGGCTGACGGTGCTCTGCTCCATTCATTCCCTTTTCCGGAAGACAAGGTTTCCCGGAAAATACACTCCCATCAGGGCTCCTTGGAGCACCCGCTGAGCCGGCCCTGACCTCCCTTCCTGGGGAGGACGCTCTCGAGTCACCGCCTTGTCCTGGGTCCTGCTGGGCAGTCAGAGGTCACGGAGCCTCCTCCACTGAGGTCACCCAGGCAGAGGTGACTAATTCTCATCTACCATCCCCGTGGGAGGCACTAGTCCCACCACCACGGGGCGGAAGCTCTCGCGGCCAGAGAGAGGCTTCCAGGAAAGCCTCCGCCTTGATTTTCCCCCAAGCCTGCCCCGTGGGCTGACCTCTGTCCTCGCCTCTCCCGCCAGCCCACAGGCGGGAGGTTGACAATTTAAAATAAAAGCTGTAGCTCTCACTCGGCTTGATTTCTGAACCAGCGTCCAGCCTGCTTGGCCAAACAAATCCGTGTGGGATGACACCGCTGCCCTAGCCCATCCTTCACGTTTATCCTCAGGGGAAGATTGAAAGGCCCTTCTTTCAGGGGCTCCAGCAACCTGAAATCACTCTTAATTCTCACCATGTGAGAAGGCTGGGGGAGGGTGAGGCCGCAGTGACGTGAAGGGCGAAAAGGCCTGCCTCCCGGAAGCGTATTTATAGCATCTCTGCTTGGGGGCTGCCGTAATAGCCTTC